CGCGAAACCGATTATCCCGAGAAGGATAAAATGCCGACGGCGGGGAATGGAAGAAGGGGAAGCACTAAGTTAAAGGGGAGGAAAATCCCAGTCCAGGAAGTCCAGGATGGCTAGATAAACAGGGATGGTTCTCTGGAGGGAAAGGGAAAGGCCTGCTTCTCCAGGAAAGGAGAAATCCCTAAAACGAACTCATTGGCGCGGCTTACAAGTCAGTCCCTAGCTGGCTCTCGCCGGGGTAAAAAGAGAAACAAGAGGAGGGAGATCTCACTGCGCCATAAGCTGAGCCCCCCCCCCCCCCGAGGCGCCTGCTTCCCCGAGCAGGTGCTGATGGGGCAGAAGTGACTGCAAAATAACAAACTCCCAGAGCCTAAGCTGTGAGCAAGAAAGAAAGAGGAGTGGGAAGCAAGAATTAGGCATAGGGTGAAGTGGGGGAGACTCTGGGAGGAAGAGTAAAATAGGAGGAAGTGCCTCCTAGGCTCATCAGTTAAAGCGAAATGGGGTTAGGAGGCTTGGCGCGTAATAAAACAAAATAGCGCTTATGTAACGTAAACCGATTTCTCCCACGAAATCACGCCACGCCGGGGAATCCTGGTGTCACACGACGCCAGCTTCCTTCTGACGCCTTTTCTGGACTCTTGAGCTCCCACTTATCTGGACTCTGAGCAACTCCGTGGGCCGCCTTGCCCCTGGCGGAGGGTATGGCAATGGGGACGGAGAGACAACAGGCACTGCGCGCAGAATTCAGCCCCCTCTCCTTCCTCTTGTTCTTCTTCTCAGGGGCCTGATGCGGCTTGGCGAGAGAGCTGGGAAAGGGCAGATCGGTTGCCACCAGCCCCCGCCATCTCCCCAAACTGCTCCCCCAACCGCAACGGCGTCCCCTGGGGGCCCATTGTGCGAGCGTGGCGGCCCGCGAGGCCTTGGGGCCGGCCCTTCACGCTTCTCTGAGCAGATCTCGGAGTGTTCCCGCCTCCCACTTGGCCGAGATAAGATCTGAACGGGCCAGGGAGGGCCCAGGATGCGCAGTGGTCCATGGCCTTGCTGGACCTCCTCCTCCTCCTCTGCTGGGGGGAAGGGATGCTTGAAAGTAGACTTGATGCTTGTTTTGGGGAGAGGTGTTGCCAGTTCTAAGCACTCGGCGGAAATAGAGTTGCCCACCCGCAGCCCTAATCTTCCAAGCCAGCGCAAATCAGCAGGTTAATGCCGAACGTTTTGTGATTTAAGTTCTGGTTTTGGGTGTTGCTTTGGCTTTCCCCAAAACCCTGGAGGGAGAGGGTGCAAAGGCTAGATGTAGGGATACTAAGCGGCCGGCCAGCAGCACCCTCAAGCCCTCCATTCCCCATCCTGTGTTTCGCTCTGTATACACTTTGCTAAGTGTGTCTGGAATGACCTCCAAGCAGTATTGAAAACGGTGCGTTCAGTATAAATGAAATCTTCCATACACCAGAAGCAGATCCGTCGATCAAATCAGAGGGCGAACAATTCTCTATCTCAAAATGAAAAATAAAGCATTTAAATCAGGAAATCGTTTAAAACTTTATGTAGTTTTGCATATTAAATTATTCAGGCATGTGGCTTCCCAGGAGGTCAAATGATTTCTTCTTAAAAATAAAATAAAATTAAAACCCTTACATTTAACTGGTTGCGTTGTGGTTTTTTGAACAAGGTTTTATGAAGGTTGTTATTTGATCTGCTTCTCCGCGGAAAGAAAAAACAACAAAGCAAATACATGCACATAAGAATAACAAAAGCACCGAACAAAGTCAACTAAATGAGGATAATAATCATTCTGATTCTGGATTATGGAGTGAGGCGCAATCTAACCAAAGACATTGATTTGATTGAGAGAGTTAAGCACACGTTTAAATCTAAACCAGTGAACATATAACGCATTTTAACTTCGCCTAGACTGTGTTGCTAATTATTATAATAATAAGAATAATAGTAAATTTTGAAAAGTTTTGTTGCAGTTCATTTGAACGTGGGTGTTAGTTGGCACGAGTTAATGGTAGCGCTGTAGGCAATAGGACACCGAGGGTTAAGGGGCAAGCAAAATGACTTTAAGAACTCCTCTCCCCAAACACAACAGAGAATGTGAAGTCCTTTTGGTACTCCTTCTGCCTCTCTCTCTCTCTCTCTCCCTCCCCCGCCCCCTTCCTTCCAGAAAAGTTGTTGGCGCTGTTTGCATGCAAAGAGAAGCGCAGATAGCTTTCACAAATACCTGATGGTTTATTACATTTCCAAAAATCAGACCTCTGTGTGTGACAACAGCCAGTTAAATGAGTGGTAACTGGAAACCATAAAGGATTATTCACATTTCATATATATGTATAGAAATTTGGATTGGCACACACACCTCGCCAACATCCGTGGGCGCATGTGCATTGAAGAAACGGGTATGGTTTTTCACCGATGCCCGGTTGCTGGTATTTTCCTTTGTGGCAAACCCCTTATTAAAGATTGAGCGGGAGAGGGAGAAAAATGCACAAGTCCAACATCGATTGGATTGCTGTAAAAGGGCAGGATCGGATACAAGCAAACCACACACTCGCCCAAAGAGCCTGGCAAGAGTTCCCACCCAGTTTTCAGACGCCGGTCTGCAGAGCGAGGGAGTCAGGAAAAGAGGGCCTAGCAAAATATCAAAAGGGGTGAAAGGAAGGCTAAGAATAAGTTGTATTACAGAAACCAACAGGGTTATTTGCGAAAGAGGGTTGGCGACCACTTCCAAGGATGAGTAATTCAAACGAATATGGAAGGCTGAGAATGGGGAAGTTAACCCCCCATTCTAGCAGAGACCGAATAGCCCAGCCTACAGGCCTTAACAGATCACTTCGATAAAAGATCCACTGAAACCCAAGGAGCTTACTTCCAGGTAATGTGTTTGGAGCATGTAAGGAGCAGTGCCTGCCATCTGCGGGTGGTTTTACTCTGGAGTAACCTGGAGTAATCCCAAGGACTTCAAAGAAAACCAACGGTGGCTGCTCCGGGGCAAGTTTTTTTCGGGAGCTGCAGCCAACTGATATACATAAATGAACACAGGGAGCCAATTACTCATTTGCTTTGCTCTAAGCTTTGTTTCCGCTCTGGACTTCACAGAGTCCTCTTCCCCCCCAACCCCCCCCCCCGCCTTCGTTCAATAGCCATAAATAAAAAAGCTGAAACAATAATTGTAAAATGTAGCCTAAACTGTGTCTTTACTGTTATATCAAGTTTAATATCGACTTCCCACTTCAGAATCAGGCAACGGAGAAAGTCACTTTAAATCAAATTTCTATGCAATTAAACAACATTATGATATCCGTACAAACAAATGCATCATTTTAGTGTAACAGCATTCACGGTTCAAACAAGGTTCCTTGGTATTCCGAAGAAGAGAAGACAGTGCTGGGACAAGAGAGAGACTCCCCACCCCACCCCATCCGCCCCAAATTGTGGCTTTGTTCAGAAACAGTTTTTGGTAGTTTTTATGTCTAATCAGTATTCAGCATCATAATTGTATCTAGCCTAAACATGGTGAGTCCAGTAATGTTGGAGTTATATCTAGCCTCAGGGCCAAGAAGGGGGAGAGAACCGTCCAAACCTATTTAAAACCGCTTCACTAACTTAAGACAGAAAACTTAGTACTGTAAGCTAGATGTTTCAATAAGCCCGTGCCAGAAATAAACAAAATAAACAAGGAATGCTATGGAAAGTATTTTAATCGGTCGCCTTCCTTAACAATACTCAACAGATATTAAAATAATATCCAAAAACTACACCATTAAAAAAAAACTTTCTCCCCCTTTTTGTTGTTGTTCGCGATCACAGAAACTGTGAAAAGTCTAAACCCAAATAGGGATTTGTGTGGTTGCTGATCTTATTATATTTCACGTTATATTTATACATATAGTCAATTTCCAATCTCTAGTTTTTAAGGCATGCCATGAATTAGTACATTTTGGATTTACTGGTTGCACTTTCACTTTGAAATTGATATAACTCAGAATCGAACGCATCTTTAGAGTTTTATTTGTTTTCCTTTTTTAGCGGAAACGCCTTTTTAGTAAACTATATACACATTTATGAATTCCCTTGTAACGCCTAAAATTAATTAAAATTATTCCACAATGCATTTACAAGAAGAAAAAAAATACAAAAAATAGTTAACAAAAGAAAAAAATGCAGACGTAATAAACATTTACAAAATCCAGAATATTGTTGCTGGTTGCAAAAAAATAAAATAAAAATGTTTTTATAAATAAACAAAATAAGAAAAAATAAAGAACCCCGCTTCGTAAGAACTACAAAAAGAAGAAGAGTTTAAGCGTGGTTTTGGATTTGCATCCCTTGGTACTGCGTTATAAACGAGAACAGTTCTCCCCAACATCTTTGCTTTCCTTAGGCAATAAAAAGTCTTCACAAGAAGCGGCTCAAAGAGTGACCAGTTAGTGCTTCTATGTGGCAGAAAAGTTGGCGTCGCCTAGATCGTTGAATAATTAACAATTATAGTTATGTCTGTCTGTCTGTCTTTTTTGCCCTCCCCCCGCTTTAGCAAATATAAACGCATTGTGGCTCCTGGGTGAATGATAAATACTGTACAAAAAAAAATCTCAGTTAAAACACAGACGGTTTGTCTAAAACCCAACAACAACAGAAGGAAAATATAACAACCCAACTCCCCCCCAACCCCCAGTTTCAGAAACTAGTCCTTAGGGTAGAGAGGGAGGGACTGGGGGGGCAGCATTAGAGCAATCTGTTACCTTCTCTCTTCATTATCCTCACCATTAGGAATATTTGTTATTATAATTATTATGATTCTTATTACAACGTCATCAAAACATCTCCTCTCTCTTTCTTGTTGTTCTGTACAAAAGGAAGGGGGCGGCGGGGGGTGGGTCTGGGAAGATGGGCAGCAGTGGCGAGGGGGACGAGGGGGCTCCCAGGAGAGAGAGCGCGACACCCTCCACTGCGCCCCCGCGCCCCTTGGCTGCTCCGTCCGTCCGTGCGCCCTTCCTCCCCTTGGCTCAGATGTGCGTCAAGGGCACCGTGCCGTTGACCCCCGTGCTGGCGCTCTGATAGTGCTGTGGCAAGGAGTGCAGGCGGCTCTGGGCAGCGGCGGCCGCCGCCGCGGCTGCCGCCGCCGCTGCCGGGTCCCCTCCTTCTCCGCCGGGCAAGTACATACTGATCATCTCTCGCAGGTCCCCAGGGCACGGGGCCCGCGAGTGCGCCGAGGTGACGGGCGGGCTGACGCTGGGCTCGGACTTGACCAGGGAGCCGAGCGCGCCCAGCGCCCCGGACGAGGCGGCTGCCGCGGCTGCGGCCGCCGCCGCCGCCGCCGCCGCCGAGTTCTGGTGGGGTTGCGCGCCGTAGGAGATGCCCCCGTAGGCCGACGGCGAGGCGCTCATGTAGCCCTGCGAGTTGGAGATGGGGCTGTACTGGAGGGCGCCCATGTCGTAGCGGTGCATGGGCTGCGGGTTGTGCGGGTGCGGGTGGTGCGCGTGGGCGTGCGGGTGGGCGCCGCCGCCCGGGTGCTGGCTGTAGGCGAGCTGCGCCTCCTGCATCATCGCCGCCGCAGCCGCCGCCGCAGCCACCGAGCCCGGGTACGCGCCGTTGGCCCAGCCGTTCATGTGCGGGTAGCCCCCGCCGCCGCCTCCGCCGCCGCCGCCTCCCCGCCGCCGGGGCCGCCTCCGCCGGGGCTCTCCAAGCGCTGGCCCACGCCGGCCGGGCTCACGCCGACGCCCATGGCCACCGGAGGGCCTCCGCCGGGGCCGCCGGCGCCCAGCAGCCCTCCGGCCAGCGAGTACTTGTCCTTCTTGAGCAGAGTCTTGGTTTTCCTCCTGGGCCGGTATTTATAATCCGGGTGCTCCTTCATGTGCAGCGCCCGCAGCCGCTTGGCCTCGTCGATGAAGGGTCTCTTCTCGGCCTCCGACATGACTTTCCACTCGGCGCCCAGGCGCTTGGAGATCTCCGAGTTGTGCATCTTGGGGTTTTCCTGGGCCATCTTCCGGCGCTGGCCCCGAGACCAAACCATGAAGGCGTTCATGGGCCTCTTGACCCGGTCTTGGTTAGCCTTGGGGCCCCCGCCGCCGCCGCCGCCTCCTCCTCCTCCTCCTCCCCCGGCTCCGGTTTGGCCCGAGAGGTTGGTGGTGACCTGGGCTCCGCCGGGGGAGTGCATGTCCGTCTCCATCATCATGCTATACATTCGCGCAGCTTTCGGGGGCCACCAGGCTCCACAGCGTCAAAACATAGAGCGCAGGAAGGCGAAGAAGCGAAGCGCCGAGGAGAGCGCACGAGCGGGAACCGACCAGGAGGACGAGTCCGGGCGGGAAAGAGGAGGTGCCGAGGAGAAGTAAATTATATAAGAGTTCACCACGACGGTCGAGAGCGAGGAGGGGTGGTGGTGCTGAGGTTGGGTGGGGGAGAAAGTTGTTTTCTTCTTGCGCTCAGAGAGGAAAGCGCGAAAGCGCGCGCGCGGGAATCTCCCCGGGCGGGCAAAACTTTCTCCCTCTCCAAGAGTGTTGCGCTCCGGTTTCTCGTCGAGCTGGATTCAAAAGCGGCTCAAACAGGTGCCGGGCGGAGGCTCGGGGGAAAGAAGCGGAAGACGGCGCCGGCGAAGAAAGTCTGGCCGATCCACTTTGGCGAGGAGGTGGCGGGGAAGTGCGCGCCCGGGCTCTCTCGTCGCTCTCCTGCGTCCTCGGCTCAGCACACGCGCGCCTCTCTCCCTCTCCCGCACACACACACGCGCACACGCAGGCAGCCGCGCTCCCCTCCTTCTCGCGGCGGCTGAAGTGATCTAATGCGCGCGCCCCCCCTCTCTCCGCTAACTTCCACAGCGAAAGAGAGAGAGAGAGAGAGAGAGTTGAGGGAGGGAGCGTGTGTGACTCGCATCCGCTGGTCCCAAGTGAACAGAGGCGAAGAGACAGGAAATCCCCCTCCCCCTCTGCCGCCTCCACCACGCGTAAAAAAAAAAAAGCGGGAGGGGGGAAATAAAAGAAAGGAGTAATTAAATCACAAGAAAAAGAGGGAGGAGGAGGAGGGGTGAGTGAGGGAAAAAGGAAGAAAATAGTAAGGACGCGCGGGAGGGGGGGCGAGAGTGAGGGGAGGGGGAAAGCCAAGAGCTCCCAGGCAGGCAGCAGAACTTGCACAGTAATTTGTTCTCTGTGGTTTCCCTCCTCTAGCCCGGGAGGAATCGGGAAAGGAGGAGCAGCCGAGAGATACCACGAGAGAAGAGCCCAGCAGCCATACACCGCGCACCGAACGGGGATTAAATTAGTTTGCCTTGGCCAATCGGAGCGCGCCGGCGGGGGATTATTTGCATGGCGCACTGAGGAGTGACGTCCGGAGGTGAGAAGTACAAACTATTATGGAACCGGCGGGGAAGGGCGAGGGAGGGGAGCAGGGCGGGGATGGGGAGCCTTCGGGGAGGGGCCGCGAAAGGGGGTCGCACACAACCACCAGGAACGCGAATAAATAATAAAATAACCCGAACCGAACTAAGCGTCTACTAGGAAGCAAAGGCCGTAACGGCGAAAAATAAAATAAAATTCCGAGGGCATATATATGCCAATTCGAACCGGTTCAAGATGCGCTTCACCCCAAAAAGATTATTTAAATTTAAATCGCGCGCACCCTGGTTTCCGCCTGATCTTCTGGAACCGTGGCGTGTTTAGCTGCAAAGAATTCATTTCGGGGGAGGGCACAGCAGCAGCGACAGACGTTGTTGGGACCGGCAGAAGTTATTTAGTTTTTAAGCTACTGGACTTTTTCAACCTTGTAAATTTTCCTTTCTACTTCTTCTCTTCCTTTCCTGTACGGAACTTTTTTTGTTTGTTTCCTATGCCCTTTGTGCTTGCTGAGAAGGAATATAATTTTCCGCTAGTGTATCTTGACGCGCAGGTGTTTTCTGGGCGGGTGTTGGGAAAGGCAACATTTTAATAAGCCCTCAAGATTTATCATATCTTTATCTGTGTGTGAGAATCTCACCAAAAAGACTCTCCGATCTCAGCTCACTTGGAAGAAAGTTCTATTGAGATCAGTGGGACTCTACTTTGAAGTAGTATCAACAATGACATGGTATCTTAAAGATTTATCGTGGCATAAAGTTTCGTGAGTCATGAGACAATGTTGGCTAATTTTTAAGGTGCCACGAGACGTGTCCTTGGTGTTCTGCAGTATATAACAGAGTTACCTCTCTGGAAATTCTTTCAATTTAATATGTTTAGGATGGGGATGCGTGTCAAGTTTAAAATCTGAAATCACTATTTATAAAATGTAGTAGGCTGTAGTATAAGTTGCTTTGAAACTACACTATAAAACATTCAGGTCGGTGCTACCCATGTTTACTCAGGTGAGTTTAGCTAGCCCCATTCCCAAGTAATGGCCTAGACGTTGAAGTCTAACTAAGAATATTTCTTGTCATTTATGTCCCATGGACATCAGTGTGGTTTACCTTTGGGCAATTTTGGAACGGGGTGTTTAAGAAATATACTAATGGAAGGGGGGTGTTTAAGAAACGTAATGCTCGTTCGTGTACTTCTTGGTTCTCAGTCAAGATTTCTCAACTTCCCAGTAGGAGACAGGTCTCCAAGTAGTGAAGATTGTTTTAAGAATGGAGAACTGACGCCCCATATCCTAGCACAATGCTTGGAACAGAAGTTCTTTCCTGTAGATGTCAATGGAATTTGCTTCCTTGTAATGTGTGCCAACCTAACAGTTCGAAAGCACACAGTGCAAGTAGATAAATAGGTACCGCTCCGGCAGGAAGGTAAACGGCGTTTGCGTGCGCTGCTCTGGTTCGCCAGAAGTGGCTTAGTCATGCTGGCCACATGACCTGGAAGCTGTACGCCGGCTCCCTCGGTCAATAAAGCGAGATGAGCACCGCAACCCCAGAGTCGGTCAGGACTGGACCTAATGGTCAGGGGTCCCTTTACCTTTACCTTAATGTGTGGCTCAGATTACAGGCATTGTACCTATAGAAGTTGATGCGAAATCTGTACAAAAACTCATAGGTTTCCAGGCGCCCAATCTCAATCAACAAACCCCTTCAGCTTACATGCCATGTAAAGGGGACTGTCCTGATTTTGGAAGGAAATCCCAGTGGAGATAACTCTGTGGGTCTTACTTTCTAGTCCCTGCCTGAAATAGAGGTCAGGACTTTAATTTATGTTTCTGTTTAAATAAATGTTTATGTTTCTGCCACACATTTTCCCCGCTTTTGGAACTGATTCATGTATATATCGTTCCAGAATAGATAAGCTTTAGGATTCCACAGCAAGATCTTGAAATATATGTAGCTAGGGAGATCATTCTCCCTCATCTGAATGTTTCTTCACCTCTGTTGACTTTTGAGAACTTCTGGCCCCCTCACTCTAAACCAGAATTGTATAACAAACAACGCTTGAATTGAAAATGAAACCATAAGAAAATACTTCCGTTGAATAGGGTAAACTGCACTTTTCCCTTGACTCCACGGTTTTCAATGTTTTCCCCGCACCCTCTTTGTTCTTTATTTCCCCCTATCATGTATATAAGTAGACCTGCCAACTGATGATAACTTCACTGAAGATGCATCTTGTGAAGTGGACTCTAATCCATGCCACAATACATTTGTTAGGATTTGTTGGATGTTTATTTCAAGAAGTCAACAACCCGACTGTGTTGTCTTTGCTACAACAGGGCTATCAGAAATGCATTGATATGTTATGCTTCCAAGCGTGGTAAGAGACTGCAATTAAATCAGTCGCAGTTACTTTATATACCAGTAAATATTCCAAACGCGTAATAACCAAATCACCAGCAAAAGGTAATAGACCAAGACACCCTCTTGACTCCTTTTCATAGAATGGCACGTTAACTAATCCCAAGGGCTGCGCCCGTCCAATCTCTCTTCACCGCCCATTTCTTCTGCAAAATGTTTAAACTTTAAAGGGCTTCTCTTATAATGCCTACGGCCATCCTTTCATGCTGACTGTCATCTTCACATCTCCTTCATTTCACACGACTGGACGCTAAATTGCCAAAAGTGCATCTTAAAAATCTGACAGGTTCTCTTGAGGTATTAGCTTTTCTGGGCAACAGTCTACTTCATCAGATGCAAGAGTGCAGACCTTGGAAGTAGCGCAACATCCGTTTGGCAGGCGACTGCGCTTTCTCTCTCCTCTCTCTCTCTCTCTCTCTCTCTCTCTCCAGTGAGGTCCACAGTAAAAGCAACAATTAAAAATAGTAGAAGGAAAATGAAACAATACAGAATATACAGAAACATGAAATAACTGCGAGCTCATTCCGTAACGCTGTTAACACCGGTCTACATTCACAATAGAATCGAGGCCATCCATGGGCTCAGAAACTGCTAACCAGGTTATGGCGTTTAAAAATCAATATCTGAAGCTAAAGAAAAGAAAAAACAACGCTGGGAATAAGACCTGGCACACGTCTTCCCCCTTACACACTAAACGTATGGGGCAGGCCCCCTTAGGTATAGCGTGGTGTAGTAGTTAGATTAGGACCTGGGAAATCTGGGTTCAAATCCCCACTCAGTCATGAGGTTCACTGGGTGACAGTGGACCAGCCTGCAAAGCCAAAACCACTTCAAAGAGAACAAGATCTAGATTTACACGCGATGGCTCAGAAGATCGAGGAGAACTTAGTGTGGCGCTGAAGTTTATCCTCTGCAGCCAAATGCCACTCTAGTGCAGAGGGCACTCCAGGGTAGGGGAGTATTTAACACAAGGTGCCACTAAGTGTGGTTGTTGTTCTTAAAATGTCGCTATTGAACTTGCTACTGCCACTGCCTAAAATGGGGCATGGAGAAGCCCTCAAGACGTTGATTCGAAGCATCCTGAGATCAAGTCTGGTGGGAACCATATTAGACCAATGTGGTCAGGGCAGAGATGCCACTGGCTCTCTTCTAGAGTGTGTACGTGTCCGCTGAAAGAGATTTTAATCAAACGAACAGCTAACTAAGGAGTGGAAAATATTTTTTTCCTACTTTTGAACTTCGGTAGCCAATTACAGGCAGATTGCCTAAGATTTGACTCGAGAAATGCAGCAATAAATATAGAACAGGATTTCTAAGTGGCGTCTCTGTCTCTGTCGTTACTCACTGGCTTGTCCTCTTTGGGCAATTGGTGTAGAAGTTGTGTAATAAAAAATAATATTTAATAAATGTTTAGAAAGTATTGAGTGCATTTATGGGGCAATGAATGTGCCCGCAGCCAATGTCGTCGATGCAAACACCCACTCATTCCATCAATGTAAAGCGATACAGGACGGAGTCCAATCTAACCCACAGTCTTGGAAGTAAACTCGCTCAATAAACTGGGCTTAACTTCCGAATAAACATGCCCACAACCTGTTTATTGAGCAAAGTGCGTCTCTCATTGATCCACACAACAGGCTCATGAGGTTGTGAGACAGCTGCCCTTCCCGTTTTACAGACGAGAAACAGAGACCCAAAAAGTTACTGACAGAGCGAAGCCAAACTGCCTGTTATCTGGCTGCTCCGTGTAAAATGGTCATTGCCTGAGCACTTACTTCGAAACAAGGGTGCCAACTAGAATAATAAATGTGGGAGGGGGGGGCGGCGGCAGGTAAGCGCCGCCTTGCAAAATCGATCACAAGATGCGGCGCGCGCGCACACACCATCTGAATGCCCAAAAACTTTTGGGGTGCCTAGCCCCCTCAAATATTTTATTGGGGGCCCTAGGAGTTGACTCATATGCTTTGAAAAATATTATTAAAAAGCACGGAACATACTCTTGAGTAAGCATTCATGTATGCGACCAGGTTGCAGAATTCGGCCATTCGTTTATCAATACGGATACCTGGCATTACCCCCCAGGTTGCCTTTTGAGTCCATTTAAACTCTTAAATAACACATCAACCAACTTTCCAATGCTGGCAGTCAAAACCTTCGGCGTGGTAGATTCTACCACGGGGCTCACCTTGGATGGCTGCACGTGTCTTTTTACTAAGCGGCAGGGGACTGACAGCTCTTGCGCGTGCCAAGTAGGCAGCCGGTGTGGTTTGGCACCTGGTGCCGAGATCCCTACACGGGCAAGACCCGAATGCATGGACAGTCTTTAGACCTGCCTTGGAAGCAGTGTAACTTGCTCCTGGAGAAAAGTGGTCCACACCATCCGCACGACCGTGTGTGTGTGTAGGGCCATTTGGCCCAGGACCTTAAGCTCAAAGGTGGCCTCAGATTTAGGCACGTTAAATTTTGGGTAAGTTTCACAACCTACGTTTATGCACATTGGACCAAAATGCGACACACACTTTCTCAGCTTGAAAAGCAGGTGCTGATTATCTCTGAGGTTTCGCTCTGGTTTTGGTGCTTTTCCCCGCTGCTGCCATCTTTGTTTTTATTATCACAGAATCATGGAATTGTAGAGATGGAAGGGACCCTGAGGATCATTCTAGTCCAAACTCCTTGCCATACAGGGGATAGGCAGCTGTCCCATGCGGGGATCGAACTTGCAGCCTTGTTCATTATCAGCACCGCGCTCTAACCAACTCAAACCTCGAAACAAAATTTAAAAATTCCTTCCAGTAGCACCTTAGAGACCAACTAAGTTTGTTATTGGTATGAGCTTTCGTGTGCATGCACACTTCTTCAGATACACCAAAGCTCATACCAATAACAAACTTAGTTGGTCTCTAAGGTGCTACTAGAAGGAATTTTTTAATATTTTGTTTCGACTACGGCAGACCAACACGGCTACCTACCTGTGACTACAACGCAAACCTGGAAGTGACTCGGGCCTCTCTAGACCTCTGAAAGGGCCTGACCACCCGTTTATAGCTGGAGGAGTGCAACCTTGAGTTTCAAGGCTGCGATCCTGTGCATAGCTTCCTCCGAGTGATCCCCCACTGACCACGGTGAGGATCCGTCCGATCCTGGAGGGGAAGGGCCGGCGGAGTTGCGCAAGTGCCTTCCACCCTGCATGACTAATCCATCAATCCTGGCGGCTCAACCCAGTGACCCCCCCCCCAAGTCTAGCTGATCTGGTGGGGAACATATTTTTGTTTAGATGCATGCAAAGAGGTTGGAGACTGACCTGCAAATGTTCATTTGCCGGTGGTGTCGCCTGGCTGTTTCCAATGTGTGGCCTCTTCACAGTGAAAGAGCTGGAGCCTACAAAGTTTCAACTGGGGGCACAGCCAGGTGAGCCCCTCCCTCACCTCGAAGGAGAATATCCATCCCTCTAGGAACCTACAGTGTCTAGCCAGGCAGTATACCCTTTTTAAAAGGAATGCTTTAGAAAGTGTTTATTTTCTTTCTTTCTTTTTTAAAAAACCAAGTAGGGTGATGTTATGCCAGATGTGCCTATCTGATGAAAACGACCGTTTGGTTTAATTTAGTGTTAGTTTATTGGGTTTACATATCGCTTCACGCAGCCAGAGGCGCCTGGGAGCCATTTACAGTATTAAGATGCAAAACTCACAACCATTTAATAAAGCAGTACATTAAAAACAACAACCCTAGAACAGCACAAACCAGAATTTGGTGGGTACTGCAAGAAAAAGTTTCACCCGAAATGGCTAGCCAGCTCCTTGTGGGGATTGCTTGGTGGCGGTAATTTTGTTTGGTCAGGTCGGAAGTATAAGGACCCTGGGCATGAAGCAAATCCGGTCCATTGGGAGCAAACTGCTCTCGGAAATGGAGGCCTCCTTTTGGTCCAGATCAATCCAATCCAACAATCAAATTCGGGATTGTTCTCAGGGTAGCTCTACTTCTGTTTCCCTGGAACTTTTAGCGATACCGCTGGTTTGTGAGTTGCACCTTTCGTGAACCAGCCCACTGAGTAACCCCTGGAGCCACTTTGGTGGCAAGATCTCATGGTCAAGATCATTTCTGGAAAACAGCTTGAAAAAGACAGAATATTTCCCCCTCCTTCCCTCTCCCCCCGTTTGTTTTCTTCTTCTTCTGAGAAACAGGCTCGCTCGCTCTCCAAATGAACATTGCCTACATCATACAAGGCCTGCTTCACACGTGTATGGTCAGCACGGCCCCTAAACATGACAGCTGGCAGCTGAACGAGTCAACTAATTCTGCGATTAAATTCTGCAGCAAGGTGCGTCGAAGGTGGGAGATCCAGGCTGGTCTGAGGATACCTTAATTTCTTAAGTTTTCTGGGAGATCAGGAGGGCGACTCGCAAAGGAAACTCCCCACACTCGCCCCTCTCCCACCTCGCCGACTTTGCCTGCTTCTTTCTGGTGACTGCGGCGCAAAGCGCGTCCAGCTGGCGAATGCCGTTTGCGCTTCCTTGGCCCGCCAGGAGCTGGCGCTGCGCACGCTGGAAAGGCACCGGCAAGTCCCCTAGGAGGAAACGCGGGGAGAGGAGGAGACCCTTCTGGAGAAGGAGCGCCCGACCCGAGGCTGCTGCGAGTGAGCCGAGGGACAGGGGATCCGGGCTCGGCAGCGCAGGCTGCGATCGCCGTCTGCTGGCTACTCCTCGGCTCCGGATTCTGCAGCGGGGGAGTGGGGAAAGGGGGTGGGGTAGGGTGTTTGAGGACTCCCTGCTTCACGCCACTGGCTCCTGCCCCGATTCCCCCACCCTACTCTACTGCAACTTCCGACCGAGCGCTTTCTCCGCTCTCTTGCGCAAATTCCCCCAAGTAAACCCAAAGCGAGTCTTCTCAAATTCTCAATTTCATTTTAAGAAGCGTGTTCTAATCCACTTAGCAAAAGACCTAGGGGGTTGACACACGGTATCTAAGCAGGGCCAGTCGTGATCCTCATTCTCAGTGAAGAGTTTCAAAACTCACAAGCTATTTGTGATTTGGGAATCTTTTCCAGAAGGTGAACCAGTCGTTTCCCTTTCACCTTTCACAAAGGCTTCCCACTCTGACGGTTCTCCTGCAGATTCCTGAGCCCCCTCTCACCCCCGAGGCAAAGCGGCTATAATGTTGTTGTTGTTGTTGTTGTTGTTGTTGTTGTTGTTGTTGTTGTTGTTGTTGCTTCCCACCTCGCTGGGTGAAAGCGTTTGGAGAATCTCTGGAGCTTTCGAGTCGGGGCTCACCCCTGTGAACAGTGCTCACACATATAATTCAAATTTCACAGCTGACCTGTTCTGAAAAACCTCAATCAGCTTCTAATTGAAGGGAAAACAAAATATTGCTTCCCTACAGCAGAGCTAACGATTTAATCATTATATCAGACATTATAGCTTTTAATTAGGCTAATGCTGATACTGTATGGAAAAGAGATAATTCAACACAGTTCTTGATGGATTCTGTAATTGGGTTAACGGAGGGAGCAGTTGAGGGAAGAGACGTCAATAATATTCAAGCCGCGTCTATAGCTACCACCAGGTTTATGAATGAAAGGATAGAAACGGGGCGGGGGGAGGCAGAGGAAAGGGCTGAAACTTCGCGTAGGAAAGGTTTCTCTCCAACCTGCCCTGTGCCGCCCCCTGGAAAGTTCCCGAGGACGAAATGGAGTCACCGGGAGGACCAAATTCTGATCACTCCCAATATCGGAACCTCTTTCTCCTCGGATCTCGAAGTCCCTGCAATTGGTGTTTGTTTTCTCCGCGCTGGGGTTGAAATGCAACCCCGCGTGCCTATCAGCGAGATGTGAAGAGCAGCTTCTCCACGTCGTCTGCTCACATTTTGTCATTATCCCTCGACAAAACTGACTTGATGTGTCTCGCAGCTGAAGAGAAGTTGACATCTCTGCTCCCCGAAATCTAGGGGAAAGCGTTCCCTCGAGCGACGCGTTTGGTCTCCTCCTTCAAAAGGAAGGAAAAGCGAGTGTATATAAATAACCTCACATTTGAGGGAATACGAATAGGAGCGACTTGGGCGCATCGGAAAGGAAGTGCCCACGCCTGTGGAAACTGGAATTGGTTTAAGATCAGTTTCCCTTTTCGTAGAGACAAAATTCAGCTGAGGATTCTTGTTGCATTTTAAAAATTATTATTAATCGCCAAACAGGGCGAAGGGGCACTGACTTTCCTTCTTAATCCCCTCGTTCGGGACTGAAAATAATTAAAGACCTGCCCGCTACATTGAGGCGAAATTAACAACAACGACGACGACAAAAACAGTTTTAGATGAACATATGAATCTAATTACAATATCCAGAGGAATGCTGTCTAGTAGCACACATGGATTTGTGCTTTCTGCCCTGTAATAAAGACAGCCAGCCGATGTTTAGATGTTGTCGAGCCAGCTGATACACTTCCCTCCCAACCACCCGCAATTCGGATAAAAATCTATTTTCCATACATTCTGGGGCAGCTTGAGAGCGACTGGCTAAGGAGCGGCTGTTCCCACTGCCTCCAATTCTGCTTGGCACGTTAACATTAGAAAAGACAAGCAAGGCTACAACGGTGGTTTTCGTTGCACGAATATAAATGGCCACATTACAACCCTTATTTTGAGCCGCAATTATGGCAGAGAACGAAGTTGGCGATCTCTGCGCACAAAGGGCCCCTTCTTCTCGGGGGCCCGGCGCCCGCCGCTCTCACAGCCTCCCGTTTGAAGAGGCGGGTTTGCTGGGAAGTTGGGAAGAGGACAAGCCTGGCGCTTTTTGCAGACGCTCTTCCCTGTTCTGGGAGCGGTGTGCTAAGCACGTGTAACCAGGCCTGAACCTTCCAATGGGCGCCCTGGAATGCAAGTTCCCCCTGCAAGGTTGGAGCACACCCTTTCGTCACGCTTTGTCAGGGAGAGAGTCTTTTATAAGCTGTTTGTTTATATTATGCCTTAACTAGACTCCCGGCACAATATTGTTTTGAAAGAGAAATATTCTCTATTGTGATCCATCCTTGTCTTATTTTGTCAGTAATTACAGCAGAATTAAACGGGTCATTGATAAAGTTCCATTGACACAAACCCCTGTAATTAACAGTCTGAATGCACCTTAAAAAAAAAAAAAAACATTCCTCAAGAGTTGTAATTTTTGAGTCTTTGTGTTGTTAAAGGGATACACGTATAATAGGAGAGGACCAGAATTGCTTAGAAAGAGCCGTGGCTAATTCCGGATTCCACCTCCCCCCCAACAAAAAAACACACACCCTCTAGACAGCCCAATCAGTAATGCTTTCTAAGCTCTGACTGATCAGAAAAACAACACCACCTTTAAGACTAATAATAATAATAATAACATGAGCAGAATAATATATATATATATATAGTGATTTATAGGATTCAATACCCCCACCCTGCTGCAACGATATTGTTGTGACATTAAATGTTTCAGGCTCTCATAGGATGGGACGCCTTGAGTAGGAAAATTAAGAAAAACAACAACTATATTGTAAAAAGAACAAAAAAAAGCCGGGTACTTTTTAAAGGACGGTTATCGCGTCGCGTTCTCAAGGATGAGACACGACCACTGCTTTGGAAGGAAATGCCAGGGCAATTTCGAGCACTGATGCCTCGCACGAGGTGCCATCGAACCGCATTTCTGTAGCCTGTCTGGCCGGCCCCTCAAGTAGAAAAGACACCCCTCCATCAAAGTCCAGTCAAGACAAACTGATAAGGAAAAGCCTCCGACTGAAGGCAGGAGAAGTGAGCTAACTCCTCGCCGCTGCCCCCTCTCCCACCGCCCCTTCCCGCTTCCAAGCCATTCCCTGTTATTGCAAATTAGATTAACCACCCAGGCTTCAATATACATCTGACACGGGGTTCACCGGAGAGCGGAGGATCATCCACTC